ATGATGATGATGATGATGATGATGATGATGAGTATGGTAATGCCGATCCAGGTGACGATGATGGTGATGGTGATGGTGATGGTGATGGTGATGATGATGATGATGATGATGATGATGATGATGATGATGATACTAATGATACTAATGATGGTGATGGTGATGATGATGATGATGAGGATGATGGTAATGATGACGATGATGACGGCGACGACGATGATGATGATGGTGTTGATGATGGTGACGAGGAAGATGCGGAACAGGAATCGGGGTCGGTGAATGCGTGGAGAGCGAGGGTGATGAAGATGACGACGATGATTAATATGATGGTGATAGTAAGAGCGATGAGGGACGTGATTATGCAGATAATAACACATACGGTCCAATGGGGTCAGTGCGATGGGGCAGCTAGCAGCGATGCGCACGATGGGGATATGATCGCTTGAAGGACATGGATGGCGGGAAGGGTGATGATACTAGCTATGCACAATGACGATGTTGACGGCAACTTTTAGATGCTGTTTAGGTTGACGTTGATGATGACGGTGACGGCTACGTATGGTCATGCTAGTTGCGATGGCGATGGTGATCCTACCTTCAGCGGACGCCAACGCTAGGCCCCATGGTTGTATTTGTCGATGCGGTCGATGTGGCTGTCCACAGCAGCAGGGTTGAACGCTTCATATTAGCTCCCATCCCCTGCGTCCGCCTACAACTTCCAAAAGTCGCCTGCTTTCGTCTGCATGATACGAAAAGTCCCCACATCTGCACACGCAGCGAAAATCATAACCCTGTCTCGTTCTGTCACCTCCTCGTACAGCCGTGCGACTGTGTCCGCGACATCCTCATTACCAACCCACACGAAGAGAGCGCCCACCCATCCACGTCGGCAAGCAACGCACTGGGCCTTGGCTAACTTCTTGTCTAGCAACTGCTTGACCTCTGGATGCGTTGGAACTTCGAACGTCCGAGTGTTGCAATTGAAACGGCCGACTGCGCGTGTGACATCAACACCGACGGCTAGATGCGCACCGAATCCCACCAGCCCTTTGGGCGTGAGTGGTTTAGAGAGCCCGCTCTGTCCTCAACCCCCCTTCTTCCCCTTCGGGGAGGGGTTTACCCCTCCCCCTACCCCCTCCCCCTGGGCCTGGAGAGGGACCCCCGCGGGTGGTCAGAGGGGTCTTTTTCGACTCCTGGGAGGGCTAAAAAACGACGACCCTCACGAGGATTCTGGCCCCGACGGGGGGACCGAGTTTGGCCCCTCTCCTCTTCTTTCAAGATAAAATCATTGATTTTACTACGGTTTTGGCCACACTTTGGCCTCCTGAAGGGGGCCGCGCTCATCTTCCTTCATAGCAAAATCATTGATTTTACGAAGGTTTTGGGCTCATTTTGTCCTTCTCAGGGGGCAGAGCTCCTTTGCGCTTCTGAGGAGGTCGCAAGAGGCCCCAAGATGACCCCAAGAGGCCCCCCGGAGCCTCCCAAGAGGCCTCCAAGAGGCCCCCAAGAGGCCCCCAAGAGGCCCCAAGAGGCCCCCAAGAGGCCACCAAGAGGCCCCCAAGAGGCCCCCAGAGACCCCACGAGGCCCCCAAGAGGCCCCCAAGAGGCCCCCAAGAGGCCCCCAAGAGGCCCCAAGAGGCTCCAAGAGGGCCCCAAGAGGCCCCCAAGAGGCCCCCAAGAGGCCCCCAAGAGGCCCCAAGAGGCTCCAAGAGGGCCCCAAGAGGCCCCCAAGACGCCCCAAACGGCATCCAAGAGGCTCCCAAGAGGCCCGAAGAGGCTCTCCCAAGGCACCCAAGACCCCGAACGACTCACACCAGGACGAGGGGCCCGAACGACTCACACCACGAAGAGCCCGAACGACTCACACCAGAAGGAGGGGCCCGAACGACTCACACCAGGACGAGGCGCCCGAACGACTCACACCACGAGGAGCCCGAACGACTCACACCACGACGAGGGCCCCGAACGACTCACACCACGAGGAGCCCGAACGAGTCACACCAGGAGGAGGGGCCCGAACGACTCACACCAGGACGAGGGGCCCGAACAACTCACACCACGAGAAGCCCGAACGACTCACACCAGGACGAAGAGCCCGAACGACTCACACCACGAAGAGCCCGAACGACTCACACCAGGAAGAAGGGCCCGAACGACTCACACCAGGACGAGAAACCCCAAACGACTCAAACCACGAGGAGCGCTTTCTCTCCCTCCTCCTCCGCCTCGTCCTTCTCCCGCTCCCACCACAAGGAGGATGTACAAGGAGGCGGGAGGAAGGAGGAACAGGGGAGATATGCGGGGGCAGGCAGAAACACGCCTGAAAAACACGACTGTCGGCATGCTTCGAAAGAGTTGCTGTTTTGAGATGGGCTGGTGGGGATACGCGAAGCGTGAAGAATTTGCAACCGAAATCAACATCTTGGTCGAATTGACTCTCTCCAGCGGACAACACGAACCCGTCAGACATACCGAGGATGCGGCCGAGAAGCTCAACTGCAAGTGCTTCACTTGCGTTCTGCACCGTACGACCAGCTTCGCGTTCACCAATAAACAAGCGAGAAGCATGTGGCCCCCATGTAAGGGCCCCACTACTTGCCACTGCGACGTCGAAACGTACACAAGCAGGCAACACTCCGACAACAGCACTCTTGCGTGCTAAGTGCGACATGGTAATTCGGAGGTCAGAGAAGTCAGTGCACGTGTCATGCTTGTCCCAATCGACGGTCTGACATATAGGGGCTTGCCCGTCGCGCAGAGATGCTGGTACGTTAGTTCTAATCGCTGTATCATGTGAGCCGAGTCGCAACATGCGGGACTCAATCGCGCACTGCTGACGTAGGTGTCTGATACCCTCTGGCAGCATGCCACGCGTGCAGTGCACACACCACATAAACCTGGTTGAGCGAGCGGCGTCTGTGCCCAGAGCGTGGTTGTAGTTGCAGCGCTTGATCTTGGAAACTACGAGCTGCAGTCTGTTCTGCTCATCAACGCGATTGTTATGAATCCCACACGCCCTCTGGACGTGAGTGGCTTGGAGCGTTCCTCTTCCATTCTTCTCTCTTCCCTCTTCCCCTTCGGGGAAGGGTTTCTCCTACCCCCTGTCCCCTGCCCCTGGACGGGGGGATGCAGCGGGTCGTTGGAGCGTCTACAAGGACCTCGGCGAGAAGGCCAACAACACATTGATGTTACTATGGTTTTGGCCGACGTTTGACCTCTAGAGGGGGAGGGGCGCTAATTGAGTACGGCCCGTCTTTTGGTCGATCTCCTCCAAGATAGCCCCAAGATGACCCCCCAGGCTTGCAAGGGTGCCCCAAGAAGGCCCCGAGAGGCGCCCAGGAGGCCCCAAGAGGCCCCGGGACCCAAGACGCCCCAACAGGCCCTGGCTAGGCCAACATCATTGATTTTACTACAATTTGGCGTCCGCGGGGGGGTGGGGGGTGGGGGGCAATTTGCTACGGCCCCTCCTTTGACCGATCCCCTCCAAGATGGCCCCAAGATGGACCGCGAGGTTTCCAAGAATGCCCCCAGAGGGCCCCAAGAGGCACCCAGGGGGCCCCACGAGGCCCCCAAGATGCCTCCAAGATGCCTCCAAGCCTCCAAGAAGCCCCAAAGAAACTCCCAAGAGACCCCCAAGTGGCCCAACGAAGCTCCCCCGAGGCACCCGAGACCCGTCAAGAGGCCACTGGGACCGCCACGAGGCCCCCAAGAGGCCGACAAGAAACTCACAAGAGACACCCGAAGAAACTACGAGAGGCATCCAGGAGGCCTCTGGCCTTTCTGCTCGCCCTCCTCCTCCTACTCCTCCTCCTCCTCCTCCTTTTCTTCATCCGCCTTATCCTCCTGCTCCTCCTCCTCCTCCTCCCTCCCCCCTCCTCCCTCCTTCCTCCTCCCCCCGTGTGTGGGGGACGGAGCGGAGCTGGCGCATGTTCCAAATACCTCTCCCTGCCTGTCCGCCCAGCGTGTTCCGGAACAGCGTTTCCGGAACACGCTGGAACGTGCTCCGGAACAGCGTTTCCGGAGCACGTTGGAATGCTTGTCTTGTCTGCTATTTTGCGGTGACGTTAACCCGGCCGGGATGGCCAGCACCAAAATTCGTGACATGTTCGTTGCTTCTGCATTGTTGGATATAGACGTCAGCAGCAGTGTTCTTGTATATTGTTGTGCGGTGCGTGAGGCATAGCATGATGATATTTGTCGGCGGGCCGGTCATCGGTGACCTTCTGGAGGGCCCCAGAGGCCTTGCCAGGTCAACGGCCCAGCCGGCGACCGTTTAGATTGCCACGATGAGGTTAGATATTATACACGCTATGTTCGCAAGCTTAGATTGCACAGCTGGGTATAGTAGTCAGCAGCAGTGTAGCATAGCCATACGTGCAGCTCTCAGGGGAATGCGGTGCGACCCCACGCCTGCATGAGCCTGGGGGCGGGGATCAATCCAAATGCGGTGCGACACCACGCCTGCATGCGGATTGGTCCCCAGCGTGACTTTCGTGGGCACTTTGGCTCAAGGCTCAAGGAAAAACAGACTCCCTCCAACCTCGCATGGTGGCCCGGGGTGGCCGCACCAAGCGTGGCGGCCGCAGCCTGGCCGTTATCATCTCATCCTGGGAGCTCCGGCTGGCCGAGGCGGCCGACTATCTTCTCAGGGCGGCCCTTGGGGTCCCACCCAGGCCTCATTGGGGCCCACTCTGGCTTCTGCCGGCCTCCAGGGCCGAGTTGACCGCCTACCTCACCGCAGTCGCCGAGAGCGATCCGGATAGCGACGTAGAGAGCGAGCTGACGGAGTAGTGGCGTAGAGTGGGTCTTCCGACGATTGCGATTACAGGCCGATCGAGATCGACACCATGGATCCTTTCGGGAACCTGCCTGCGTACTCCCTCGTGGGTGGCACTCCAGAGTTGCCCACAAGGGTTATGAGCCCAAGCCAGCACTACGTTGGTGCCCTCTACCCTACTTCATCTTCTTCGGGCCCGGCTACTCCATGGACTTCTTCATCGGCGATGGCTGGAGGAGGTGGTGGTAGTCGCGGTACTTGGGTGATTCAGACATGCAGGGCGTGCAGTGACATTATGACGGGGCCGTCTATCACATGCGGCAGTTGTGCTACAGCTGTGCACGCTCATTGCGCCACGCGGCGCATGGGCCAGGTGGTGTGCACGCTGTGCGCCCAGGAGTTGGACTTCCAGATCCAGAACCACAGGCTTCAGTCGAGAATCCACACGGAGAACGTGGGGCTCGGCAGGATCATGGGGGCGAGTGGGCAATTCGCTGGTCAGGCGTTCGGCGCGGTCGCCAGCGGTGCAGTCGGAGGAGCGGCTCGACTGGTGTCCGGCTGCGCGAGCGGCGCAGTCGCAGCCTTTCAAGGCATGCGTGCGGTGGAGACGCCATCCGCGACTCTAGCAGGTCCGACGCGGCCACGACAGCTGGAGGAGTACGACATTTCGGATGCAGGCAGCGGAGCTGCCTCCGCCCAGGACTCCGACATGAAGCAGATGCTCGTCGAGGTGCGCGCGACGATGAAGGTCGAGATGGCCAGGCTGCGCTCCGAGAATGAGCGCCTACGTGCCGCTGGTTCGAGCGCGGGCCAGGACGGTGGCTACGCGACGCCGAGCCTGGACGTCGACCCTTCGGCTGTGGACGCAGCTGGCGACGATGCTCACCATGATGATGCCGTCGGTCGCAACATCGAGGGAGAATACGACGTCGATTGGTCTACTCATGCACCTCTTGGTGCCGAGCAGTCGGGCGAGGTGAACGACATCCGGCTGGCCGGGGCGGGGAGGTCTGGCGTGGGACACGCCGGCTCCCCGATCATCACGACATCGCCAGAGCATATCGAGCAGACGGTGGTCCACGAGCTGGCGAACCCTCCTGGACTCGGCGCCTGTCCGGCTGGTGGTGGGACCACCGTGGCGACGGGCACTCTCGTCGGGCAGCCTCTTCATCGTGATGGCCCTCATCAAGAGCTGTCTTGAGGATTTCCTATTGGCGGTGGCTGCGAGCCCCCGACTTCGCGCATCTCCGGCGGATCCAGAGGCTTCGGAGGAGGAGTAGGGCCGCTGCTAGGACAAGGAGGTCCTGGAGGCCCGCATGGCCATGGATATGGCGGAGGAGGACCTGGAGGCTTTGGAGGCGGACCTGGAGGACCAGGCGGGCCAGGCGGAACTGGTCCAGGCGGTTTCGGAGGCGATCCGAATCTTCCGGGAGGACGTGGTGGAGGAGGTCCTCCGCCACAGTCGCCGCCCGTTGGAGGGGCGGCCGCTGCTGCTCTCGCTGGCGACGGTGCCCCCCAGCGCGACGTGATGCTCGAGACCACCCTCGCGAAGCTGAAGGCCGCCGACTTCGCTCCACTGGTCTGGAAGGGGCCGGTTGCTGCGAAACCGGGCGTGCTTGAGCATTGGGTGCAGCGGCTGACGCTCGACTTGGGCGGCATGCACCACCTGATCGAGCGCTACTGGCAGCGGGTGCTGTTCCACGTGAGCGAGGCGTACGCGTCGTACCTTCGTCACGGGCCGCTCGATCGCCCAGCGATCAGGCCAGCTCGACCTCAGGATGTCATCGTGCACGTGCAGGACAGCGTGAACTTCCACTCCTGCGAGCTCCGGCTCCGCGGCTTCCTGCTGGCAGTGATGCCAGCCTGCGTGAAGGAGAACTGCCTCAGCACCCGCCAGACGAGCACGACTGACATCATGTTCGCTGCATTCGTGGACGCTGGTCCCGGAACCGGGCCAGACAAAAAGCACACCCTAGATTCGGTGAGCAGGGGCAGAGAGGTGGGCTTCAGGCAGTGCTACCACGAGCTCCAGGCTTGGAAGTTCGCGGCCACGAGGCTGGCGACGCTCGGAGTGGCTGCCCCCGATGCCTCAGTCCAGCTCACCGCCCTGAAAACGATCGCCTCCAAGTTGGTTGAGCACGACCAGGAGGTCAAGCACCGCTGTTACGGCTTCCTCGTGACCCGCGGACTGTCTGGCGGAGTGGCGAGCCAGGCGCAGGTGAACGAGCTCTGGCGATACCTCAGCGCGGAGGCGAGGGAGTTCGCGGACGCGGCGGCGCCGAAGGACGACCCCGCTGCGAAACTCGCCTTGCGGCACCCTTCCAAGGGGGACCCTAAGGGCGCGAGTCCGAAGAGTGATCCAAAGGGTGGGGAGGCGAAGGCAGATGCCGGCAAGAACGGGTACCAGCAGAACTTGAAGGTCTGCACGTTCTTCAGCACGCCCGGAGGCTGCAGCAAGGGCAAGCAGTGCACGTGGCACCACCCGCGCTTTGACGGCTGCCGATATTCGTGCGGAGATCCGCAGTGAGCTGATGAGCCTGATGCAGATGGGCTCTGGGACGCCGGCCAGTCAGGCTGCGAGCGCGGACGCCGACTTCTGGAACGCCGGCGGCCCGAAGGCCAAGATGATGAACATCAAGGCCAAGGTGATGATCGTGAGCGGGGAGCGGTACCTCTTGGTGGACACGGGTGCCACGCACGAGCTGAAGGGCGTCAAGGACTTCGACGACCTCGGCGACGACGCGCGGACGGTGCAGCTGGAGACGGCCACGGGCTCGCATGACTCGCGCATGGTCGGCGACACGGTTTTTGTTTTAGGTGAACATCTCCAGGGATTATTCCCACTTGCGGCGTATGTGGAATCCATGGGTTTGGAGATGGAGTGGAATCCTCGCCGACGCGGCGTGCATGTCGGCAACGACTTCGTCGACCTCCACAGGGAAAACGGCAGCATCTGCATCGGCGAGAAGAACGCGGAGATTCTCCGAGCGGCGCGCCAAGCCCACCTTCGAAAGAAGTTCAGGGCGTCCATGGCGGCTCTGGCCAGGAGCCTGCGGGGCTTGGCCGAGCTCCAGAAGCATTGCGAGGAGGGCCACGTGACCTTCCTTTCGTCTTGCAAACAGTGCGCCGGGGCTGCGGGCAGGCTTCGAGGACATTTTCGACATGCTATCTCCACGCGGCCGGGGGACCAGCTGAGCGTGGACCTGTCGGGCCCGCATCTGCCAGGGTGCTGGCCGAGTGGGCGCTCTGAAGATGCACATCGGCAAGCTGTGCACTTCCTCCTCGGTGCCTTCAGCGTGCTGACTCCGACCGAGATCGAGGAGAGGAGGAAGCTGGAGGAGGGCGCTAGGATCGGCGCCGACATCGACGCGGAGGCGTCTGCGGCGAGCTCGGGAGGAGCTCTGCCGAGCGCGGAGGCTGAGGGCAGTGGCGTGGCTGCGAGGGTGCTCTGGGCGTTCAGGGCAACGAGCTGCGAAGACTTGGACTCCGAAAAGATCGTGGTCACGCCGGCGCTTGTGCCCAGCAGCGCCGAGCGCGGCGACGAAGACGCCGACGGCGAGAAGCCCCAGGAGGAGGGGCACACACGTAGGAAGACGTGGCATTACACGGTGCCGCTTGAAAACAAGCGGTCGAGCACGTGCATCAAGGCAATCGAGCAGGTCATCGCCGCGATCCGCTCGGAGTTCCAAGGCGCGGACGTGGTGTACAGGATCCACGGGGACCGTGCTGGCGAATTGACCGGGACGCTGGTCAAGGAGTACTTCGGGAAACAGAAGATCGCAGTGACTTGCACTCCCGAGTTTGAGCCATCAGCCAACGAGAGGGCCGAGAAGGGAGTAGGGCTCGTCAAGCTTCGTGCCCGGGCGATGCTCCTCGCCTTCGATAAAAAGGAGGACCGGCAGGCTCTGTGGGCCATGGCTGTTCAGCACGCCGCGTGGTGCTCCAGGATGGCCTCGCAGGGGAGGAGCGTACGCTGTCCAGCCTTCGGCTGTCCTGTCATGTCCCGTGCGAAGGACGTGCCGCGGTCCATGATTGAACCGCGCGCCGGCGAGAGCATCTTCCTGGGCGTGGACTTTGAGTCGCCGAACACGTGGCTGGTCGGACGTAGGGACATCGAGCAGGAGCGCCCCGAGCTGCGCTGGATCGTCGAGTCCTCCAGCTCATTCGTGAAGCTGCCCACGGAGGAGCAAGGGCCAGGAGGAGGACCAGGAGGCCAGCAGGATGAGGAGAGAGAGAGTACGCAGCACCATCAGGAGGAGGACCAGGAGCAGCTGGAGCTGATCGCGACCGCCCAGGTGTTGCTGCAAGAGCGCCTGGTGATGGACGCCCCGTTGCCCAGGGGGCCAGTGAGGCTTAGGACGTTCTCGCCGAGGTGATGCCGAAGGACATCAGCAGCCCGGCGTGCAGGGGGCAGCATAGGAGCCATACCAGGGACGAGCATTGCCGGCTCGGCCCCCTTCTCCGGGACGATGGTTCTCGCGGAGTGTTTGACTTTCGAGCTTCTGGTGGCGGTTTCTCCTGTCAAGCTTGCCGCGGTCGACACGTCAAGCACACCAGAGATCACAGGTGCAGATTGGGACCAGGAGGAGGTGGGCGCGCAGGAGGAGGGCAGCCGCGACTGACAGCGGGCGCGGCGTCGTCCATGGGCACTCCGGCGAGCCTCCTGATGCACCGCGACCGCGTGAACGCGCACGCCCCATTCGCGGCCGCAGCCGGGGTATTGCAATGGACGAGGAGGAGCAGGAAGAGTGACGACGACGTCCCGTCGAGGTTCAAGGATATCGTACGCGAGGGCGGGACCCACCTGGTGGGCATGAAGGTGCTGCACCAGAGCTTCGGCAAGGAGCGGGAGGAGTGGCGGCAGGCGCTGGAGAGCGAGCTGAACTCCCTCATCGACAAGTCCACGTACCACAAGCTCACACCGGCTGAGGGCCGCGAGGTCCGCCCGCAGGACATCCTGCCCATGAAAGTCGTGGCAGGGGAGAAGGCCCCGGACTCCACGGGATGGAGACGCAAGAAGGCGAGAGCATGCGTCTGCGGCAATTCCGAGTCGCAGGAGTCTGGCGAGATGAACTACACGTCGAACATCGACGTGAGCAGCCTTCGTGTTGCTCTCGCCGTTGCTGCTCGGAGGCGTTGGTCTGTAGGCGCCCTGGACGTGTTCACCGCGTTCTTGAACGCTTTCCTGCCCGTGGAGAAGAAGCGCATCGTGATGAGGCCTCCCCCGATATTTGTGAAATTCGGGCTCGTCCCGGAGGGCGAACTTTGGGTTGCAGAGCGTGCGATCTATGGGCTGCGCTGCTCCCTCAAGGCGTGGGCCGACCAGAAGATGGGGAGCTCGCGAGCATGGTCGTGAAGTCGAATGGCATCGATTATGTTTTGGCCCAGAGCCACGCTGACCCAGCAGTCTGGGCCATCAGGGCCAAAGACGATCAGAGAGAGAATGTGGCGGGCTACATCCTGTCGTACGTGGACGACTTCCATTGCTTAGGCGATGCCTCTTTGGTTACTGCGTGGCAGCGTGCCCTCGGCTCGCTGTGGAAGGTCAGCATGCAGCCCGTGATTGGCCCGTCGGCTCCAGGATCTCTGAAGTACCTGTCGGTAGACATAGGTGTGCGTGCCGACGCGACCATCACCTTGAGCCAGCGGGACTACACGTTGGAGATCTTAGAGAAGTGGGGCATGGCCAATTGCAATGGGGACCGGAAGCATCAATGTAAAGCACGAACCTTACATGTTCTTCGGCTTCGACGAGGCCGAGGACCCCGAGTTCACCGAGGAGCCCAGCATCAAGGAGGTGCGGGGCGCTCAGCGTATGTCGGGCGGACTGCTCTGGCTGAGCAGCCGCACCCGGCCTGACCTTGCATATGCGGCTAGCCGCATAGCCGCTATGGCCACCAAGAGGCCCAGGGCATCTCTCATCCTCGGCAAGAAGGTGCTCCTGTACCTGGCGGCCACGAAAACGGTCGGTCTTGCTTACGCGCCGTATGGCAGCGATGGCGGCGGCGACGACGCGACGGCGAAGGTGGACACCTACGCCGACGCCAGCCACGAGGATGTTGGAACGCAGAGTGGTGTGGCTTCGTACGTGTACGAGTGCCTGGTGGACTGGAGGAGCACGCGCCAGCAGGTGATCTGTTTCAGCACAGCCGAAGCGGAGGTCAATGCCCTCGCCCTCGGGAACCAGTGCCAGGACTCCATAGAGGCGACCCTCAACAGCATGGGCATCATCACCGACTGCACGCTGTACGGGGACAACCAGGCGGCCAACTTGATCGCGGTCGGCCGCGGGACCTGGAGGACGCGTGCGCTGTCGACCAAAGTTGGGGCAATCACGAGCCGGCTGGAGAGGGGGCTCCTGAAATTGCTGTACGTCGCGACCGCTGACATGCGCGCCGACGGCTTGACCAAGGCGGGTGGCGTTCCGCATACTGCCTGGGTGCGTGGGCATTTGGGCTTGCGCGCTATGAGTTGAATATGGCTATTGTCTACTTCGCCAAGTGCCCGGTGAATATGCTGAGCTATAGTTTTGGACGTAATTTTTGAAAAAAGGGGCTGAGCCTATGCCCCCACACAGCGCCAGGCTGAGCTGGCGCGAGTGCAGAAGGTCGCAGCCGCCCGCCGCGCCTCCCGAGGAGGAGCGTGTGTGGGGGACGGAGCGGAGCTGGCGCATGTTCCAGATACCTCTCCCTGCCTGTCCGCCCAGCGTGTTCCGGAACAGCGTTTCCGGCACACGCTGGAACGTGCTCCAGAACAGCGTTTCCGGAGCACGTTGGAATGCTTGTCTTGTCTGCTATTTTGCGGTGACGTTAACCCGGCCGTGACATGTTCGTTGCTTCTGCATCGTTGGATATAGACGTCAGCAGCAGTGTTCTTGTACATTGTTGTGCGGTGCGTGAGGCATAGCATGATGATGATATTTGTCGGCGGGCCGGTCATCGGTGACCCTCTGGAGGGCCCCAGAGGCCTTGCCAGGTCAACGGCCCAGCCGGCGACCGTTTAGATTGCCACGATGAGGTTAGATATTATACACGCTATGTTCGCAAGCTTAGATTGCACAGCTGGGTATAGTAGTCAGCAACAGTGTAGCATAGCCATACGTGCAGCTCTCAGGGGAATGCGGTGCGACCCCACGCCTGCATGAGCCTGGGGGCGGGGATCAATCCAAATGCGGTGCGACACCACGCCTGCATGCGGATTGGTCCCCAGCGTGACTTTCGTGGGCACTTTGGCTCAAGGCTCAAGGAAAAACAGACTCCCTCCAACCTCGCATGGTGGCCCGGGGTGGCCGCACCAAGCGTGGCGGCCGCAGCCTGGCCGTTATCATCTCATCCTGGGAGCTCCGGCTGGCCGAGGCGGCCGACTATCTTCTCAGGGAGGCCCTTGGGGTCCCACCCAGGCCTCATTGGGGCCCACTCTGGCTTCTGCCGGCCTCCAGGGCCGAGTTGACCGCCTACCTCACCGCAGTCGCCGAGAGCGATCCGGATAGCGACGTAGAGAGCGAGCTGACGGAGTAGTGGCGTAGAGTGGGTCTTCCGACGATTGCGATTACAGGCCGATCGAGATCGACACCATGGATCCTTTCGGGAACCTGCCTGCGTACTCCCTCGTGGGTGGCACTCCAGAGTTGCCCACAAGCTCCCCCCTCCTCCCCCTCCTCATCTGGTCCCTCCTCCATACTCCCCCTCTTGGGGTATGACGGCTCCCGAGCCTTCATTCCACTGCGTGCTCCCCTACATGCCTGATCAGGGCAACTCGCCTGGGCATCGTTTCTGGATGGGCTGGTGGGGTTACTTTGGTCGCAGCCGCAGGCGAGAGCGCAAGCGGCGAGTCGTAAGTCCGGGGCGCGGGCCTACTAATGTAAACAGGAGCAAGCTAGAGCGGCGTAACCTAAACAACTAACTGGTGGGGTTACGCGGAGCGTTTAGAATAACGTCCAGGGCATTCTGCAATACGTGCGGTGAGATATCGAGCCATCCAGATATCTCCGAGGTCGTCAAATACTCATGCTGCGTCGAAGCACCACGACGAGCAGCAGCCCATTCTTTGACTGCGCTGAGTGCGGCGTCCCTCTCGGAAAAACGAACAACTCCTGATTGCCTGGCCTTGTGAACGGAATCTTTCGATGAACTCACACTGCAACCAGTTGGCCTCTCAGGATAGGGCCGTCCTTCGCAACATTCACCAAGTGTCGGCGGAGCTTCTGTTCCACCTTCATCCAGGGCTGGACTCCGCTCGATCATGGCATGGCTACAAAAAGCACTCCGCGACCCACAATTCCTTGACTCCAGAACAACTACGGATGATGATGACGATTGTGGCGGCGGTGATGATTGATGGCTTGCGAGTGGTAGCTGCTGGTTGGTGATTGGCGTGCGGCGGGGGGGCGGTCGCGGGGCGCCTCCCACAAGCGCTTCACTTATAAACGTCAGTCGGGTCATCGCTCTGAACTCGGGTCGCCCTGGGCCAAGCGACCCGTTCCCGCGGCACCACACGGACTCTGCGCGCTCCCTGCCGTGACAACGATTATCAAGATTGACACGGCCTCCATTTCGCTTCTCTCTCACCGCAGGCGACGAATCTAAGCCAATCCCGTTCGTGTGAGATGCTCCAGGCGGTCCATCAACATTCTGCGATGGACAACGCACACAAAATGACCCCAATTAGGGGAATGCTTCCTAAACGGCATTGCTTGGCATTCCTTGGCGTTGAATTGATTGGCATTGCTGCTGCCTGGCCTCGCTTGGCGTTGCTTGTCGTTGCTGGGCGTTGCTTGGCGTCGCTAGGCGCTGCTGGATATTGCCGGGCAATGCTTGGCGTTGCTGGGCGTTGCTTGGCGTTGCTTGATCTGCACTGCTTGCTCGGCGTTGCTCGGCGTTGCTTGGCCTTGCTTGCCGTTGCATGGCGTTGCTCGGCATTGCTAGGTAGTGCTTGGCGTTGCCTGCGTTGCTTGGCATTGGTTAGACTTGCATGGCGTTGCTCGGAAACAAAACAATTTCCCCCCCCCTCTCTCTCTCTTTGTACACATATACGGATATTTATTCATGGGTCTCTCGCGCGTTCTCCCTCTCCTTGTTGTCTCTCTCCCTCTGCCTCTTACTCATCTCGCTCCTCTTTCTCTTTGCCACCATGTCTGCCCGACCAAACTAGATCACACACGATACACGGCCAAACCATACCCAGCCTGACAGGAGCCGGCCGAACCAGACGATACGAGACGAGTGCGGGGTACCAGGGGGGAGGATGAGGAGGTATCTACGCATAAGCGGCGCCTTCCTCATATTCCTCCCTACCATTCCTCCCTTCTCTATCTTATTCCATCACGCTCTCATCCTCCAGCCCACGCCCCTGTTACTCCTCACGTTATCCCCCCTCCTCATACTCCACCTCCTGCTTATCCTCTTCCTTCTGCTTCCTTGCCACCTGCGAGCATGTTTTGGAATACCCCTCCTCCTCCTCCTCCTCCTCCTCCTCCTCCTCGCAGCCATCTAATGTCCAGCATATCGTAGATCATCACGCCAAAGATGAAGGATACATGTGGACTATGTGGATCACCATGCGCGCCGATGGAGCCCCGAATTATCACCTTCGAAAGAAGACCGCACGCCTGGTCGTACACGGTCGTCTGACATGACTGTGCCGCGTGTGATGTTCCCAACACGGTCAGGCAGACGGCTACAAAAAATGCAAGATGTCTGACGGGGGAAAGGGCGTCACAACAAACCATATTGAGGGCAGATGGCAGATGCAAGGACATTCCGTGCAACACGTACTGGAGGAATGTTGACACCATGAGCACTGCAATTTCCCACACGCGCAGCGGCAACCACAGAACCTCAATGACGCGCGGCCCCGACGCGCAGCTCATTGTTCGCCTTGTATGTGCTACGAGTAGTGGTTCGACTGTCAGGGGAGGCAGCCGTCGATCGGAAGAAATTTATAGAAACATGCAGTCGGACGGCGTTGAAAGTAGGCTGGGGTTCCACCCACCCCACGAAAAGAAGGAACATGGACAACCGTTTGATCTTAAAAGTGGGGAAGCACCTAAATCATAGGGGATGATTTGAACACACAGTAACATACCTTCGAATAAAACGCTGGTAATCGTGAGTGATCCGGTGGGGCTGGGTAAGAAACAACAATCGGCATGGGGGCCACATCGAAGTTTGCGGGACCGTGTAAATCAACTGAGGGGTTGTCAGATGGCATGGTGAAGTGTGGCATCGTCGGTCCCTCCAGGGGGTTCTGTGGAGACGGTGCCCCGCTCTCCATATCCGCTTCGTAGCATTTGTGCGACACCGAGCGCGGCACTTCACGCTGACCTGAAGGCGTCGCATGTAGCACACGGCGGCCTCCTGTGAAAACACATCTGAGGGAGAGAGCGAACAGCACGATGGAGGAGGACGGGCGGGGGCAGGCGACGTATGTGTGTGGAGTAAGCTGCACGCGCCTCTATTTGGCGTGCCCACACCTGCCCGCTCCCCTCGACCTGCCCGACTCCTGCTGCTTCGCCAAGCCTGGAAGCGACGTGAAAGTGGACGGATGTGTGCCAGTGGAGGAAGAGAGGAAGCAAATGGGACGATCAACCCGCTCCGAGCTCTCATGCGCTATGGGCTCGTAAACCATACAACAATTAGTAATTGTTGTATGGAACACAGCGGAATCAGGACGACCAATCCGCTCGCAAGCGCGCGAGTGCCCCCGCCCACCGGTGAGTGCACCCGAGCAGTGTCTGTGGCGCCCCCCGTGCGCAAGCCGTGCGAGGGCAGAGCATCCCGAATGCCACGACCGCCACGCGCAGGCTCCCGCCGCGCTCCCTTCCGGGGAGAGGTCCGCGCGGGCCTCTTCGATCGGCGCTGGACTGCCCTCCCCTGCCGCGCGCGAGCGCATCAAGGGGCGGCGCCGGAGGCGCCGCCATGGGGGGCCTGGCGCCGACCCAAGACACCCGCGCGGGCCGCCCCAGGAGGAGGGAGTGAGGGAGTGAGGGAGGAGGGAGGAGGGAGGAGGGAAGGGGCAGGAGGGAGGAGGGGAGGGAGTGAGGGAGGGAGGGATTGAGGGAGGGAGGAGGGGAGGAGGGGAGGAGGGAGGGATAGGATAGGGAGGGAGGGAGGGAGGAGGAGGGAGAAGGGGGGAGGAGGAGGCTTCCCCCAGGGGAGGGGCTCGGGTGTTCGTCACCGGGGGGCCAGTGGGCGGAGGGCGCAGCACCGTGCACCTCTCGTGCAGGAGAGGCCAGGATCGAACCGAGACGTCGGATCGGCGATCGAAACGAAGCAGATCGGCGGGAAAGGAGGCAGCCAAGACGGGAGAAGTACAATCGGTGGCAATCGGCAAGCTAGTAAGACCTCCGTGGAGACATCGGAATCCAAATCGGAATCCGGAATCGAACCGGAATCTGAAGCCATCGAAATCGAATCGAATCGGAGGGGTCGCAATGAGCCCCGTCGAACACTTCTGGGGCTCGCTGTGGGGTCAGGGCCCCTTTGGGGCCACTTTCCTGCAGTCCTCGCCCCCCCCCCCCCCCTGAATGGAAGTAGCGCTATTCCAAACACCGTTGAGGAGCAGTGGAATGGATGATCAAATATTGATTGCATTATCTGTGTTTCTTTTGACTACGTGTGGCTAGAGCTCCATCGATATCATTGAACACTCTTTGGGGCATGCCATGGACTGCGTACGCAGAGCCACGCGCTCGAGGGAAAGGCCAGGGCCCCGCAGATGGAGACCTCGAGGGACCGGACGCGGGCGCGCGCGAGAAAGCTGCGGCCGCGGGCCGAGCCAGTCTCCATCCTTCGAGCTGGGTGCCGACTGCAGACTGGTCGGGCGTTGGCAGAACTGGGATGGGTCCTCGGGGGTTCGAGGATGGGGTCCTGAGGAATGGGGTCCTAAGGACGAGGTGCCTCAGACAACGTAAGTCCACCCTTGGCTCCCTTCCTATCCTCAGTCGGGCGTTGGCAGAACTCGGTTTAGAGGGACCTGGTTTAGTGATGTGTACTGGGGGACGCCCCCACCCCGCCCCGTTCCACTAACAGGAACTGCCGTCACCCGAAAAAACACCAGCTACGGCAGACCCGGTGTAGTGATTCTGGCCAATTTAGGGGCTCCGGGGCCCTACCACTGACCAGGTCCCCTGACCCCGGGCCCTGGCTATACCCGAAATAGATTCACCTCACATGTTCCGTCGAATCTATAAAGAGTGCGTCGACTGCTCCGTAGATCTACGGTGCATTCGACGTGCGTCTCGTAGATTCGACGAACAGATCATATTCAGGGTCGGACGAATCAAATTTAGGGTCAATCAATTCTGTAGTCGATCCCCGACTCGAATCCAGCGCTCTCTCCAGCTGGATATCCCAAGCCCCAAAAGGAACAAGCTGATGGGCAGACATCAGGGGTGACTTTTCCGAAGTTCTTGGCGGTCTGTTTCTGGGTTTTCGGTCTGTTTCTGGCTTTTCTGTTGTTTGGCGTCGGTGCTCGGCGGCTTCTACCCTCGGGATGCCTTCCAGCGGCTGCGCCTCGCCGAGAGCGTTCAAGGAATGCCCAAATCGTCCCGGACGACCATCGCAAGTCATGAGAGAACCCGGGGATCTTCTGACCCGGGTCAATCCAGACCCGGGTCAGTCCAGCCTTGCAGAACCCTGCAAGATCCTGCGCCCAAGCGAGGGCCAATGCGAAGGATCCCGCAGGATCTTGCACCCAAGCCCGGGTCAGTGCGACCCTGGCCCTGCAGGATCCTGCAACTCCATATAGAAGGGTTGCGAAAACAATGTAGAGCAGAGAAGAAATGGGAGAAAGAAAGATTTGAAGGATGGAAGAAAAGACTAAGAAAAGAAACCCTAATGAAATATGAATCCAAACTCTTTGAGGCTGGTGTTTCTTTGACCTCCGTTTGCATTGACCCCCGCCTCAAGGCTCCCGACTGAGGAAAGGGCTCTCAGCTCGCTGGCCTATCCCCCCCGCAACGCAGCAGCTGCGGGCCGCCGCCGCGCGCCTCGCCCGGGTCGCCAGCGTCGGGTGGCGGCGGCAGCTCTTCGCGGCGCACCCCCTGGAGGAGCTCGTGCCTTCGGGAAAGGCAGCGGGCAGAGCTTCCAGGACGAGAGTGGTGTCATGATGCGATTGGCTCAGGATGGGTTCCGGGACTTCGGGAGCATCCAGCGGTCCTCGCTTCTGGAGCCAGGGCGGAACAACAGGGAATCTGGGAAATCTTTAAACGTATCATCATGACTTCTTGCTCCCCCGAGACATGGATGGGCGCGCTTGCGGAGCGGCTCGAGTCGGACGAAAGGGGGGAGGGTAGTAAGGGGGGGGGGCAATAAATCAGCTCGCGCAGCTGGTTTTCCCGGCGCCTCCCGGCGCCACAAGCGACCATGCATCGAGGGATGGGCACGGCGGCGGGGCCGAAACCAGCTGCGTGTAGCAGGTTTCGCGCCCCCCCTTTTCCTATCAGCCCCCGTTCGTACGGGGCGGCAGGGGGCTGGCCAGAAAAGGCCTTTAGGAAAAGGGAGGAACTCCTCTCTCGAGGGGGCAGGAAGGAGCAGCCTGGATTTACGCATTGTGTAGCCGCTACCAAGCAGTGCCAGCCAAAAACCCAAGACGGCGAACTTCAGATAAGCATCCTGACCAAAGCCTGAAAAATCCTGGATGGACCTGATACGGAACACAATGGCCGCCTTTGTGCCGCAGTGCAGAGGTCTACTCATCGCTTGCCCCAGCACGCGTAAGTTCCCTCGTTCTCGAGGTCCTGCCCTGACATAAGAAACGCTGTTCTGCTTTGCAAGATTACGACTATCGCCGTGTCGAGGGCTCCGGCCCAACCGGACGCTGCTCGATCGCTACGCACCGCAGACAAGGCTGCTTCCGCTCGCCGCGTGATGGGGGGCACCTGGGTGCGACGTGCGCGCGTATTGCGGCTCCGCCAAACAAGGGCGGGGCATGCTCTAACAAACCCACACGTTACGGTCGGGAACCATTGGATCGTGCGCCGCCACGGCGGCCCCGGCGACACGCTATCCTCGGCGAGCGGATGGCGTGCCGCTCTGCCCCGCGCGGCGGGAGGCCCGCGAAAGCTCGAGACGGTGGCGCTTGGGGGCCAGGAAGTGGAGAGCGTGTCGCTCCAAAGCGCGGTGGGCCATAACCAGCGTCGCGACACGAGATTCATAAGTTTCCGATCGCATCGTTCCCTCCGCGCTCGCCATCATGCCGAAAGTAGGCTCGAGACGCTGGCGCTGGGGGGCCAGGAAGTGGAGAGCGTGTCACTCCAAAGCGCGGTGGGCCAGAACCAGCGGCGCGACGCGAGATCCCAAAGTTCCCGATCGCATCTCGGGGGCGCGCAAACATGGATCAACGATCCATGAATTTGGCGCGCGGTCGCCAGATATCCATGGATCGGGGGAGGTGCCCTCCCCAGAGTGCGGCCGCTGCCGCCTCGTTCGGCGGCGGAAATCCGCGATTTCCCATGGAAGCGGGGCCTGTCGCTGATCCGCGCCCCCTTGATCCGTGTCTGCGGTCGCCTGAGCATCGTTCCCTCCGCCCTCGCCATCGTGCCATCGTTCCCTCCTCCTCCTCCTCCGCCTCCTCCTCCTTCTCCTCCTCCTCGTCCTCCTCCTCCTCCTCCTCCTTCTCCTCCCCCCGAGCGCGCGGCCTGATCTGCACGTACACTGCGCTGGAGGGCTCGAGCGCCAGGGCCCTGTCCGTCCCCCCCCCCCCCCCCGGGGCGGCCCCGTCGCCGCGCCAGGCTCTCTTCTGGGCGCTCTCGCCGGCACGACGCACCCGCTCCCGACGCCGTGCTCTTGGCTGGCACGGCACGTGGCGGGGCCGGCCCGCGCGAACGAGATCGCACACCTCGGCCCTGGAGCAAAAGTACGCTTCAGGCCGCTCATCGCTGCCGTGCTTCTGGGCTGCACGGCACGTGGTGGGCTGGCCCGCGCGAAGGAGATCGTGCACCTCGGCCCTGGAACAAAAGAAGTACGCTTCACGCCTCTCATCGCCATCACCCGCTGTGCAGCTCCAAGCCCTCCCGTGCTGTTGGGTCCTCCTCTGTGATTCGCAGCGCCGTGCGTCCCATCCGTCTCCTTCACCCCCCCCTCCTCAGCTTCGCCCTCGTCCTTGTCCTCTTCTGCCCCCTCCTCCGCCCCCCTCCCTGCCTCTGCTCTTTGTCCGCATGCCAAGTCGGGATTCCTCTCACACGCGTCGCGCCTTCATATGGAACTCCACTTGCGGCTTATCCTTGTTCCTTCTTATTGCATACCCCCACCTACCTCGTATTCTGGCCGATAGCAACCCAATCCGGGACCTCCCATCTGGACTGTAAAAAATCAATACGAAGTTGCCGTTTTTCTTCTCAACATCGTCTTTCTTGTCGCCGACGATGCGAACAACGTGGCAGGAATAGGACGCGGCGCACATCGCGCGCGGCAGTCGATCTGGGCCCGCCCATCCTGACTGTAAAAAATCAATACAAAGTCTGCGCTTTTCCCTCTCAGCATGGCCTGCCTTGTCGCCGACAGTGCGAACTATGTGACAACAATGGGACGCGGCGCACATCGCGCGCGGCCGTCAATCCGGGCCCGCCCATCCTGACTGCCAAAATCAATACAAAGTCTCCATTTTATCCTCTCAGAATGGCCTGCCTTGTCGCCGACGGTGCGAAATATGTGGCAGGAGTGGGACGCGGCGCACATCGCGCGCGGACGTCCATGCGGGCTGCGGGCCCTCCCATCCTGACTGTAAAAAAAAAACAATACAGAGTTGCAGTTTGTCCTTTCATCATGGCCTGTCTTGTCGTCGACGATGCGAAATGCGTGGCAAGAATGGGGCGCGGCGCACATCGCGCGCGGGCTTCTGGGGCAACCCCAAGGCGGGAGGGGCCACCTTACTTGTCAGAAACAATGCCATGCTGATTTTCCCTGCCCACATAGGTTTTCTTGTCGTCCACCCCGCAAAAGTGCATGGCAAGAGTTGGGCGCGGCACGCCCCCCTCCCCCCCACTCCTACTACTACTACTACTACTACTACTACTACTACTACTACTACTACTACTACTACCACTACCACTACTACTACTACTACTACTACTACTACTACTACTACTACTACTACTACTACTACTACAACTACTACTACTACTACTTGTACTGCTGCTGTATTTCTACTACTACTACTACTACTACTACTGCAACAACAACAACAACTACTACTACTACTACTAGTACTCGTCTTATGGCTATTGGTAATAGTTCCTCTACTACTACTACTAATACGACTACTACTGCTGCTACTCCTACTGCTGCTACTACTACCACGACTACTACTACTACTGCTGCTACTACTACTACTACTACAACTACAACTACTACTACTATTACTGCTACGACTACTACTACTACTACTACTACTACTACTACTACTACTACTACTACTACTACTACCACTACTACTACGACGGCGACTACTACTGCTACTGCTACTGCTACTACTACTACTACTACTACTACTACTGCTGCTACAACTTGAGCTCCCCCTCTTCCTCCTCCTCCTCCTCCTCCTCCTCCTCTTATCAATGCTACTGCAACTGCTACAACAATTACACCTGGTACTACTACTTCTACTACTACTACTACTACTACTACTACTACTACTACTACTACTACTACTACTACTACAACTACTACTGCTACTACTACTACTACTACTACTACTTCTACGACTACTACTTACTACGACTACTACTACTAGTACTACTACTACTACTACGGCTACTACTGTGACTACTACTAGTACTAGTACTAATACTACTACCACTACCACTACTACTACTACTACTACTACTACTACTACTACTACTACTACTACTTACTACTACTACTCCTGCTACTACTACTACTACGACTACTTCTACTACTACTACTACTACTACTACTACTGCTACTACTACTACTACTACTACTAATACTACGACTACTACTACGACTACTACTACGGCTACTACTACGGCGACTACTACTACTAGTACTCGTACGACGAGTGCTACTGTAACCATTGCTACGACGACTACTACTACTACTACTACTACTACTATTACTACTACTACAACTACTACTGCTACTACTTGTTCAGCAAATTGTACAACCAATGGCATTACTAATAGTCTAGTAGTCATACAAGTATTACTAGTATTTCTACTTCCATAGTGCCACTACTCTGTACGGCTACTCGTACGACTACGCTTACTACCTGTAGTACTTCTGCTTACACTACTAGTAGTATTACTCGTACTACTAGTACTACTACCTAGTCGTACCCCCACTCTACTACTACTACTACTACTGCTACTACTTCTACTTCTTCTTCTTCTTCTACTACTACTACTATTACTACTACTACCACTGCCACTACCACTACCACTACTAGCATTACTACAACAACAACAGCTACTACTACTACTACTACTACTGCTACTACTACTACTACTGCTACTACTGCTACTACTACGACTACTACGAGTAATACGACGACGACGACTACTACTACTACGACTACTACTACTACAACTACAACTACTACTTCTACTTCTACTTCTACTTCTAGTTCTACTTATACTTCTACTTCTGCTGCTTCTTCTACTACTACTACTACTACTACTACTACTACTACTACTACAGCTACTACTACTACTACGACTACTACTACTACTACTACTACTACTACTACTACTACTACTACTACTACTA